GGGCCCAGCAGAGGCTGGGTGGAACCTGCTCCCGCTCCCGGGGCATCGCTGCCCTCTGCTCATGCTGGACGGAGGACTAGCACAACCTTCTTCTGCCCTTGCTCAGACACCTGCCCCTCCCCTTTCCAAGCGTACACCTGCGTACTTGTAGCCTGCCCCTCTGCAGAACGTACCCCCACCCTTGCCAGCCTGGGGAGGCCGAGAAATAAACAGTGTGTTTGATGCTCTCCTTGTGGGCATGGACTTGTGTCTGGACCTAGGAGTCCTCCAGTTCCCACGGGGTTGGGGGCTGGAGAGTCAGGGAGCCAGCCTGCTGAGGTGGGGAGGGGGGGAACGGTCACACACATGATGTAGCCTTAGGTGAGGCAGCACAGGAGCTGGGAGGGGAGCTAGGGGCTGGGCTCCTGGAGAGCTGAGTGAGCAACCTCCTAAACCAGCACAGAGGCCTCACGGGGGCAGGGAGCCTGGAAACTCTCCCTCTGGGGCCTGGAGCTACCTGAGCGGGCAGGTAAGCTCATGGTGGTCTTCTTCCAGGCTGGCCGGCCTAGCTCCTGGAGAAGGTGCTAGGGTTGGGTAAGAAGGGAATGAATGCCTGGAAATTGGAGGAGGGGTGGGGTGGAGAAGAGAGGGGCAGGAGACCTGGAACTGGGGAGAGGGCAGAAGTGAGGAGAAAGTGGTGTTTGCTGAGGAAAAGTCCAAGCGAGCCCTGCAGATCCCCAGGGAAGGTGGGTCGTGACAGGCTTGGGGGTGGGGCCTAAGGTAGCATCATGGACCTGCGAATCTCAGAATGGGGAGCACGCGACTGGGTCTGCCAGGGCAGCGTGGGGTCACACAGCCGCCTCCACCAGCCCCTTCCGAGACTGGGGGTGCCCCAGTGGGAGAGGCTTAGCCCCCAGGTCTGCTGAGCTCAGCAGAGCGGAAGCAGGGAGGCCCAGGGATCCAGGCAGCAGCTGTGAGCCCTGGACCCCAGCCAGCCCCCCTCTTCCACCTCCTGCTCCCCAGACAGCCCCACCCCCAGCCCCAGCCAAGCTGACGTCACCAACAGCTTCCATCAGGAGTGGCGTGGCGTCTGGTGGGAAGCAACAGGAGGGGGCAGAGTCCCCGTGCTGGGCCACCTTGGGTGAGCCATTGCCCTTCTCCGGGCATACGAAGGAGGGCATTGGACAGGGTGCGGCTCCGGCTCCCACAGGCTCTGATAGTCTAAGGCTGAGCCATCCTCAGCCCAACAGGGCGATGATGTCTCTACTGCTGCTCACAACTGAAGCAGGCTCCACTTCCTGTCAGGGAACTTGGATGGCAGCCCTGAGTCAGGGCTGGCAGCTGGATCCTGAGGGACCTTGGGACTCCCCTGCTCTGAAGTCTTCCATGGCTCCCACTGCCCTTGAGGTAAAGTCTGAATCTCCCATGGGGGCCCTTCTGAATTCTCAGACTGACTCCACCCACATCTCAGACTGACTCAATCTACATCACCTACCCTCCCTGTGGGCAGAGCTCCGCCTCGGAGCTGTTCAGCGATGGTTCCTGCCTAGCTGGCTGCTGGTGCTAGTCACTCAGCCTGGACCTTCTCCCAGGCCCTCGCTGGGCCAGGCCCGCCTCCAAGACCTCAACTCAGCCTGACAGTCTTACTTGGTGCCCCTTCACTTCAGTTTGGACCAAAGCCCCTCCTTGGGGCCCACACAGTCTTGGGTGTCCAGTGGCCCCTCCTGGGTTTCATTGGCAGCCATGGGAGGGAACCCTAACTTTCTCTTGGTCCCCACAAGCAGCCTCTGAGGTGGGTGTGAGCTCCCTGGGGGAGAGCTGGGGGGGAGTGGGAACTGCTTATGGTGCGGGCCTCTCTCCAGCCCCCGCTGACCCAGGTCTACGGATGGCCATCAAAGCTTACAGGGGACAGGACCCCCCACAACCATCTCCACCATCTCAGCTGCTTATCCTGCAGGCTTGGTTCACTCCCAATAAGGCCTGCCCTTCTCCGCTCCCTGCATGACCTCCACGCCGCCCCCCCCACCAATACCTTCCTCCCACTGCTGCCCCTCATCCTTCCGGACATCACTCCCCCAAAACTGCCCTTTCTTTAGGACCCAGAGGAAGCCCTGCTTCCCAAGCCAGCACCACTGTGCACTCCCAACCCAGCCCATCCTGTGGCCAGCATCCCCCATGCCAGCCCAGCATCCCCACGCCAGCCCGTGCCAGTGCCCTGTAACCACATGGCGCCCGGTATCCTCCTCCCCCACCAGGAGGACTGATCTCGAGGATGCGTTTATTAAAGGAGCACACTAACCTCTTTCATAAGGTCTAAAGGTGTAAAACCTACAACAACACAAAGATCGGGCTCTCAAGTAAGGCCAACATGGTACTTGGCAGGCCAGGAGGCCCATGTGCCTTCCAGTGGTTTCGCAGAGGAGTAGGCTGGTGTGAGGGGAAGGAGGCTGTATCCAGCCCCTGGCAGTGGGTCCAGTACTCAGGTCTAGTAGAATAGGGATTTGAGGCTGTCCAGGCCCTAACCACCAGACCTGGTCAGGAGGAGGCATCAGGGACACGGTTCAAGGTGGAGCCAGGGAAGGGACGGGCCTGCATGCGGCCGGGGGCCCTGCTCCCCAAGACCACCATGGCCCCCACTGGCTCCCTGTCTTCCAGTTGCTTCCTCCAGAGACCCGCTGGCTCTCCTGCAGCCAAGGGTAGATCAGAGCCCTCAGGAGGCCCACTGTGCAGGGCCGAGCCTACCCAGGGTGATGCCCAGGGGCTGCTCTGGGCCAGCGCTCGAGAGGCCGAAGAGCCCGGGACAGGGATGGGAGGGGAGGAAGGACAGAGTCTTGGCGCTGACACTGTCAGGGGGTGGCCCGGCCTCCCCTGTCCTCTCCCCTGTCCTCAGAGCTGAGCACTGCTGGGCCAGGCGCCTGGAAGGGTGGACTTCCGGAGGGCTCGCAGGGCTGGGTTGTGGATCAGCGTGTAGGCTAGTGCCCAGCGGGCTCTGCTGCGGCTGCTCTTGGGTCCTGCTCCCTTGGCTGAGGGGTCCTTAGCCTGCAGCAGCTGTATCCCTGGAAGGGAGAAAGCTACCTTGAGCCTGAGCCTTTCCCCAAACTCAGCAGGGCCTGCCGGGTGGCCC